AACGAGTGTGCAATGCATGAACTCAATTTAGCGACTTCTGTGCAACAAGTGGTATCGAGGTTGAGATTCTTGCTTCAAAATCACCATTTTCCGCCGGTTCCTTGTTTGTGAAATTTGACCGTAAATATTGAACAATAAATAGGCCAATAATGCAGGTTGACAATAAATTTACAAGTGAAGAAATTGAAATTAACTTGAATATTGTAATAACACAGTCTCGCCAAATTTAGTAAACAGCCTCAAACTAAACATGCTACCCAATATATGTACAATATATTTGAAGGGAAATAATTATGATTATTATTTGCATAAATACCCACAGTAAAAGTGATATTATCGTGTTAAAAGACAAAATTTATATTTTAATGAACTTGTTCTATATGTAGCAGTTTAAGCTTTACTAGTCTTTTGTGGTAGAGATCTAAGTTCAAGTACAACCATGACTCAAGTATGAAAATTATGCGTATAGTGGCGGTGCTATAAGTACATAATATGTATACATAATGGTTCTTATACACGATGGGTTAGATATGATTATGTCAGAATTTCTTCAACCAAATTAAATAAATAAATAATATTCCACTTTCTTTTAATACCTTATCTATATGTGAATCATTATCTAACTGCTTATGTACAAGTAGCATTGCTCATAGTTTTAGACATGAGCAGAAGGAGGGGGCTTTGGGTCCCGGACCCCACAAGTTTTCTGCATTAATATTTAAAAAGAAAAAAAGAAAAGAAAAAGATGCTAGGGATCACTCTAATGCCTCAAAATGTCATATATATTCATATCTAGTTATATGAGTAGACGAGTCTAATCAACGATATAATAAATTTTAATTAATTTGACATCTAAAAACAACAACGAAATCGTATTATTAAATTCGGTTCTATTTATGCTGACTTGTTATGATGAAATCAATTTTAATTAATTTGACATCTAAAAACGATAACGAAATCATATTATTAAATTTGGTTCTATTTATGTTTACTTGTTATAATGAAATTCATCGTTGAATTTGTTTTAATTCTAAGATGTGTTGCAAAATTCGTCATGATCATGAACCTACTCCGACAAATGAAGAAGGTTACTCAAAACAAAACGAAAAATACAACATCAAAATGTGAATTAAAACAAAAACAATTGGATATTTAAACACATTTCTAGCAATTGTTTTGACTTCTTGTGTTAAACTCTGCGTTTATCCGTTTTACAATTCGAAAGATGCGTTACAAAATTGGTAGACCATTAATAATTCAATACAAAATCAAGAACAAACCCCTAAAAAGTGAAGAACATAACCTGAAAATAAACCAAAGGTGAACGAAATTTATAAAAAAAATAGTTAAATTATTAAATCTAGTTTTATTAGCCACCTCAGAGTGGATTAGTGTAACACAGCGTGGGAAATTTAGCCACGGTTTGTGTACAATTATTTCAAAATAAAAAATAAAAAATAAAAAATAATTCTCAAACTCATTTTCAAACACACATTCTCGTTATATAAACTCAAATTTTTTTCCTATTTAACTACACATTTTTCAAAAATTCACTATTTTAAAACTCATTTCCCTACTTTAAATTTTTAATTATAAAAATACAACCAAAATTTTATTTGAAATAACAAAAAACATAGTACTCATCCTTTGCCATCCTATCCTCATCCAACACCCTTTAGCTCCAACAGAAACTAAGTGCTCGTTTGGAAAAAAAAACTAAAATGGGTTTATAACAAAAATGAATAATAATTCCCTTTGAATAATAGGAGTAATAATTATGAATGTATGATTAAAATTAATATTTAACTTCAAAATATAAGTAGATAAAATTATTAAAACTAATATTGGAATTCAAATTATAAATGAATAATATTTTTACCTAAACATAACGTAAATTAATAATCAATACTCTGCATAACGAGAAAGAAGAATCGAGTTAATTACAAGTTTTAATTTTCGAATGATTTACCTCACATTATCTTTCAGTTTTAAAATATTTTTTTATTTGATTCAGTGTCAAGCAACAATCTGCCCGTTAACCCAATGACCCACAAGTCGAACTAACCAGTGACCCATTAATCTCATACTAATGCTAAGTCGAGTCTAACAACTATGGTATTTAAGGAAAAAATAAAAATAAGCTATAGTATTGTCACTTGCCATGTCATTATGTACCACGCAATAAGGGCCGATTTGGCAGGGTTTTAAAAAGTCAAAACATTAAAAAGCTATATTTTAATATATTGAGATAACTTACTGAAAATAGTCAAATACTACCTAATCGAAAGAGTTTTTAAATGAAGCTAACCAAAGACAGTTTTCTCATTAAACTCTTCTACAAAAAGCAGAAACCTGTCAAACAAGGCCTTAATATACCATCAATAAAGTATACCGTCGTACAATCTACAAAAATATACCCTTGAGATTATTCTGTTCTGAAAATGGCCATGGAAAGAATATAGTTCAATTGAGACCTTAGATATATCTTCAAGCAGTAGAATGCAGAATTATTTATGCTTTTACGACTTTGTGTTGCTTTATCTCTTGAACTACGCCATCTGCAAGTGAATCAGTATCTACATTCTTCCCAAAAAACTTGACAAATTGCATATTTGGGTCCATCAGATACCTGCAACATTTGCAAACCATATTTATAAGATAAATTGATAATTTTATTCCAATATGTGACGTGATTCTAGTTTGATAGTTCAATAATCTCAAAAACATGTGGACGTTTCAAACTTGTAAAGACTGCCATTTTTCACTCTAAGATTAACCTCACAAAAGGTCCAAAAATTTTGCACGAAAAATGTTGAAGGCACTCATTATATCAGGAAAAATAAAAAGGAGAAATGAATAGCTTTTATCAGAACTATAGTCTCCTCCAAAGAACTACCATTATGCCCATTTCTGTCTGACTATCCCATTAAGCACTTTGACATTGCACGTCCTTCCGGAAAACTCCAAAGCCGTTACGGGCAAAATAAATCACTGAAATTTTTTTCTCCAAATACCCACTGGATTACGAAAATTTCATCCCAGCCATTAATAATTGACCATTTCAATCACTATCAACCTATACAACCAAAAATCAATTCACCGGTGTGCAATTGACCACCCACAACCATTTATCTAGCCTTCTTCCCCTAATGTCTTGGTATAAACTAACGCACCCTGAGTACCCCATTCCAAATGTAAATTTTTCCCTCAATCTCACTGCTCTAACCACAAGATACAGACATACTCATGCAAAAGAAACAGTAGGTACTTGAAACACTGGTGCCTCGTCCAGCATTTTCCTCACTACACATGAAAAACTACTGATGAAGCTCAACCCAACCATGATCAATCCTATGACATTTTAGAACAAGGCACCTAATAATCTAATATGTTCAATGGACAATCACTCACTTCAAACTCTCATTGTTCCTTAAGATTGAAATGTTAAGAAATAACAGTCATGCTCTCCAATAACAACTAGAAATTAATCCAAATGATCAGTAGAAAATGCTAGGAATGCAGCATGCCAGCAAGGCAGATGACAGGGAGTTATAAATTATTATTGATATGCATGTCTTGGCATAATTTGAGTGGTGGAGAATAATACATACATGACTATTGAGTGATCAACAAGGTAGTCTGAACCTTCTTCTTCTGTCTTCATATAGTACACTCGATAAGCACGCGCAGCTTTTTTAATTTCTTCCGAGCTACCAGTTAACCCAATCAACTTTGGATGAAATTCTGCACAGTAAAATGTAATCGTTATTAAAATATAGACTTTCAGCTGGGATGATCATGTAAAGAATAAGTCAGAATCACATTCAAAGATTTACCTTTGACATACTCACGAACTTGTTCAACAGTATCTCTTTCCGGATCAACTGAAATGAAAACAGGCACCACTTCCATTCCAGATTTTTCTTCTATAAATGTAGAAGAAAAGAAACCAAGTATTTTTGGCTAAATTTCACCATACATAAATCAATGCAAGAATAAAATTACGGTAAACATTTTTAAATCAATCCTAGATTAAATGCTACCACGAAAAGATGAAAATCCACACTGTTCTCAGTCAACAAACAATACTTCAACCACTTCACTCACAATGCCACATGATCACAAAGATGGTATAACAAGAAACTTACTTATTTTATCAATTGCAGCAGCAAGCTTCTGTAGTTCGTCCGGGCATATATCAGGGCAGTGAGTGAAACCAAAATAAATCAAGTTCCAGTTCCCCATGAAGTTCTTATCAGTTACAGCTTTCCCATTATGGTCGATGAGGTTAAATGGACCCCCAATAGCTGCTTTCCCAACAGAGGGTCCTTGCCTCACAGCATTTGAAGCACTATTTATTCCTGCAAAACATAAGTTATGAAAGACAACTAAAATTCATTATGGAAGTCCATTAACAGTAAATGGAAATACAGTAAAAGGAATCCAAATGCAAAATTTGCAACAATTGTTTTGCAGAACGAATTTTCCCATTAGTTTATATTCAACATTACTTCACTGAGGTTCCATGTAATATTGCAGGTCTCATAACAATCTTACAAAATTCATTTTAACTTCATAGGAACTTGCTGATCTACAAAACTTCAGAGGCACTCTTATACCAAAAGAAAACACACATTTCTAACAGTTAGGTTATATCATGTTCTTTAGAAGGAAGACAGAACCAGATTGGTGCAGGAAACAGGGTTGCAACTAAAACAGATTAACAATTGGTTCTCGTTCATCAACCAACAAAAAAGGAATGGACCGTTGGTCTCCAATGACTGCCTGGTGGTCGTTGCCAACAACCCCATACCATTTAGACTGTCAAACAGTCTCCAATGATTAGCTAATAGCAACTGGCAACTGGCTGTTGATCAACAGCTACCTGATGGTCGTCAATGATAGCTGGTAACTCCATGGTAGTTATCATCTTATTGACAGCCAGCCGGGGGTAATGCCGTGGTGATTGAGTTTGGTGTTTATCTCTCATAGGAGTTGTTGTAAGTTATAAAAATGGTTACCAATTTAAAAAGGAAATACATTTCATTCCAAATTGACTTAGTTTTTTTTGCTGGAACAAACAACATTTTCCATTCACTAATTTCTTCTGGCACACCAAAGACTAGGAAATGCCAAAAAAAGGGCAAAGAAAGAGAAGTTCGAAGAAACAAACAAAACCTTAGTGGAACACTTAAAAGGTATAACAAGACAGCCTCGGAAATTTTACACTAATAGAGTGTGCAAAGTTATATCTCACATTGGATTTGATAGAATTATTATACAACAAAACTTACTTATCCAATTAAGTGAACAAAGCTAAATAAACAACGAAGTTAAAATTACGTTTAATGTATTATTCAATATGTTTAATTTTATGGGAAAAAATCTAGTATGGTTCATTATGTGTACCTAGGTCTCTGCATAAGGGCTTGTTTTGAGTCTTATGTCCTTTTCATTATCCATTCGAATGCAAAAATATTTTAGGTACACATCAAATGCGATTGCTATCTTCATATTTTGGTGGATTACATAAAAATAGCAAAAAAAAACAAACAAACAAACAAAACAAAACAAAACCAGAAGATCAAATGGAGAATTGCTTCACAGCTATATATTCCCTAAGTAGTGGTGGTAAATTATTCAGGCTTTAAAATAAAATAGAAAATATTTTTTATTATTCAAATGCAATGTAAATTATTAATAAAATTTGAGCAGCTAATTATAGTGCAAGAAAAATAAGAATCAACTACATAGCATTGAATGAAAATTGTTTATCATTGGTTTGTACTTATGTTTTATAACTCCGAAAGTAATAAAAGTTAGTTTAAAATCAAATGTGGATGAATGTGTTGGATTTTTTACTCCACTAATCAACTCTTAATTCCAATCATCAACATGTGATAATTAACTCAATTCATGTAATTGTGACAATCTATAATTTCACTTTTATTTATTATTCTTTTTTAAGATATAATAAATTTATGATCACCACGAGACTATCATATTCCTAGTTCAAATTCATATGAAAAACATGTATTGAAATTTAAAATTATCACACATGATCGCACATGTCAAAAATAATATTCCTAATATTTATTTCATGTATGTTCTATAAACAATGATCTACCTACCATGAATTTTTCAACACTGTAAATAAGCAACTTATTGCCCTAAGGTATAAAAACATTAAAACAATGTAATTGTGCATGTTGATGGAATCACAATGTAAGAATTAAGTTTCAAATTAAAAACGAAAAATCAAAGAGTTTTGTCATCCATCCAATACAAAGAAGTTTAGTCTAGCATATTAATATAAGAATTACAAAGAAAATAAAAGAAAACTATCACCCGAATCATTAAACTATGAAGAAAATATAGAATTTTTTAATTAAAACCTTCAAATCCGGATCTAATGATAAATTCTTAGTACTTCTAAGTAAATTCTCTCTATCTTCTCTCAAAATTGGGCTTTTCTTGTTTTGGACGTGCTCTCTTATTTATAGAATGCCAAAAAGATTGTTTACCAAAAAAAAAAAAGAAATGAATGAATTTTTATTTTTATTTATTTATTTATTTTGGTTTTATGTTGGGGCTAGCCTTACTGTAAGCACCCCATTGTGTTTGAAGAGTGTGCCTCGCCTACAAGTGTGAGAGCGCATCTGGGTTGCCACTTGGCCCTTAAACTTTCTCTAAGGGCTTCATTTCGTCCTTACTCACTTCCTTTTGCTTTTTTCACATTTTTTTTTCCCATTGAATTCTCGCAATCTCGAATCTTCATTCCTCATTTAGCCCAACTTTTGATTATTTGCATTTTAGTCCCAAAACTGTAGATATGATTTGCTTCAACCTCTTTTTCTGGCCGTTTTCTTCAACTCCACAATAATCGAAGTTTACAAAGAATTAAGCCATATTTCAAATAACTAACCAACAATTATTCTTGTTTAACGGCCCAAATAAATCTATAAAATACACCTATCACTTGCATTTTAGCTTTAGGCTTGAAACTTAAAAGATGATTAAAAATAACCAAGTTAAAATAGAATAGTACCCTCAATTAACTGACTGTATCTCCTTATGATTACTTTATAATCGTGATATAAAAAGTAAATAATCATCTTACCAAAAAAATTAATACGGTCACATCTAGACACAAAATTTCGTATATTTTACGTCCTCTAAATTGTGAGTCATAAACATATGGCAGGAGTGGTGTTTCCCACTCCACCAATCAATTTGGATCAAACATTTAAATTAGGGAAAGTTACAGCAGCGATCTCTAACCTTTTCGTTTTTTGCAGACTTTATCTTAACCTTCATTTCGTGCCAGCATAGGTTCCTAACATTTCATAAATATACACCTGAGATCCATTTGTATGGAAACCATCTAAAATACTGTCAGTTGATCGAAAAAATTCCTTATACTATCTGTTACAACGACGGTTTTATTAGATGTTAATATCTTTTTGGACGATATTTTGAACGATTTTATTGGATGTTGATTCTTTAATTTTTTCGATCAACTGATTGTATTTTGGATAGTTTCCGTCCAGATGGACATCAAGTGTATATCTATAAAAGGTTAGGAACCTCCACTGATACAAAATGAAGAGTAGGATAAAATCTACAAAAAAATGAAAAGATGAAGGACCACTGCTGAAATTTTCCCTTTAAATTATCATTTCAATAATTAACGTTTTAAAGACTATTTGACCATATAATTAAAAATGTTAATTGTCCCATAAGAGGCAGACCTGAAAAGGACACTTAAATTTGCTATATCTTCCCTAATCACAGTCCCCATCATCCTTTTTAACTTTTATAATTGTTTATTAAAAGTTTGTCATAAAATCTTTACAAAAAGAAGTGTCCAAATCTGGTCCAAAATTTATCCACTTAAGCTCTAATCAATGTAAATTAAATATTAACATCTTATAGGCTTTTTGTCTTTAATACTGATAGTTCTCAATTTTTTAACTAATGTCCAAAATTGAAAAGCCAAATGGACAGTAGGATTTAACCTTAAACACACAAAACACGTTGGTAGGTTCAACACGCTTAATTTTGAAAGTTCAGGGACTAAATTACAAAAGTCAAAAAGTTGATCTGAGGACCATAAAAAATGATTGAAGATCATAAGGATCAATTCGACGTGAATAGAAGATAAATGATGAAAATTGCACAAAGAAATGACTCAAGCTAAACAATGGATCAAAATTAGGAAACAAAGTGAAAAATAGGAAAAGAAATTACCCCATGTGTATGCATGGGCTAAATCTAATGCATGCAGGGGCGGACCTGGGGGGTTTTACAAGGTCAAGTGACCCTCTAGATTTTGAAAAGGAAAAAAAATTGTTTAGCTTTTTTTTTTAATTTTTTTATTAGCAAATATCTATAATTTTTATTTCCGACTCCCTACCCCAAGTTGTCTGGGTCCGTCCCTAGGCACTACACTTACAAATTGATAAAAGGCCTCTGGTGGAATTTACTCTAATAAAACCATCCCTTTACTCAAAAAAAGGTTGAACCCCAACCTTAGGGGCCTCCACCGACCCTGCTCTGGGCCATCGTGGAGGAGGTAAATCGCAGGATGTGCCTCCCAGGAGCCAGAGTGGAGAGCACATGGATAGGCCAAGGCTGTTAACCCATATGGTAACTCCCGCTTGCAACAAAGCCAATTCCACCTTGCGGGGAATCGAACTCTGCACACTGCCGCGCTGAGCCCTATCCGCCCTTCCCTTTGCCACTGGGAGATATGCCCTGGGGGCAAAACCATCCCTTTACTCGCTACAAAGTCAGGATGACAAAAGCATCTATTTGGATGGAATGCGGGTCCCGTTTCAGCTTAATCAGGACGCTGCTTGCTGCATCTTTGCTGACATATGAACACCCCAGTTAATAGTATCATATGAAGTATTGTCCAATTTAAGTTATCGAACATGTCTGTTATTTTTGAACTTATTTTTAAGAAGCCAATATGCTCAGGACAACCTGATTCTGTTCAAAATCAAATGTAAAAACCTGGGAGAATTTTCAGATTCCTCATTAATGCACATCCTGATAAATTCGCAACAGATTTCTGGATTTAAATTCCTTAGATTGTTGACAGTAGTATCCATGGAGGGTAAGACCCAACTTCCATGGTGGAGCTAGGAATTGAATTCCCTTCATTGGGCATAAGAATTTTATTCAAGATACAATTGACTATTTTAAATAAACAATTATTTACAACGATGTAATCCGACTTTCTAAATCATTCAACTCTCAATCTGTATATTGACATACCTCAAGCAAAATCTGATTTTAATCCCCACCAAATAGTGTAAAGCATTCTTTTATCTAGGTGCAACATAATCTAAGGAAAAAAAAAAAAGGCTAAAATCAATTTTTTTTTTTTTTTTTTTTTTTGTGTTCAAATATTATGCACTAAATAACATTAAACTCTATAATTTATTCGTCCAAGCATGAAGTTATCTAAAATGTGCACTGTTATACCATCCGTAGAAAATATATCCTCAAGATTATTCTATATTGAAAATGCCATGTGAAGAATATCGTTCTGCAGTTGAGAACTCGGATATCTCTTCAAGGAGGAGAATGAGAATTATGCTTTTTCCATTTTGTGTTGCTTAATTTATCTCTTAAATTACGCCATCTGCAAGTGAATCAGCATCAAAACTTGACAATTTGCATATTTGGGTTGATGATTTGGAAATCTCATTTAGGCCAAGTCCATCACGCCAAGCACCTTCAACTAGTCTAAAGCACTTCAGTATGGTGGCAGCATTTGGTTTTAACTTTACGTTCGCCACAAGAAAAATAGCCTTTTGCAATTGGCAGAATATGTGGTCGTAGGTCTTTTGTAATGTGCACCTGTATGTTACGACTTTCAATGTTGTCTTACAGTAGATAAATATGACAAACAACATTCATTTGCACATTGCCATTAACGTTTTAACAACGCGCATTTGCACGTTGTCATTAATGTTTTAACAACTTGCATTTGAACATTGCTATTAATATTTTGGCAAGGAGCATTTGCACATCGACATTAATTTTTTAGCAACACACCGTTAATGTTTTAGCTATCAAATAGAAGTAACCTATTGCAGCAGCATTCGCAAAAGGAGATAAAAATCAATCTCAAGACCAGGATCAGAAGCATTCAAACATGTTTATCGAAACAAGAGAGATGAACACCATATGAATTACCATAGCAAGCGTTTCCACTTCTAAATTTTCCACAAGAAAACAAAATCTCCTGCACAGAAGGAAAATATAACGAGTGTGCAATGCATGAACTCAATTTAGCGACTTCTGTGCAACAAGTGGTATCGAGGTTGAGATTCTTGCTTCAAAATCACCATTTTCCGCCGGTTCCTTGTTTGTGAAATTTGACCGTAAATATTGAACAATAAATAGGCCAATAATGCAGGTTGACAATAAATTTACAAGTGAAGAAATTGAAATTAACTTGAATATTGTAATAACACAGTCTCGCCAAATTTAGTAAACAGCCTCAAACTAAACATGCTACCCAATATATGTACAATATATTTGAAGGGAAATAATTATGATTATTATTTGCATAAATACCCACAGTAAAAGTGATATTATCGTGTTAAAAGACAAAATTTATATTTTAATGAACTTGTTCTATATGTAGCAGTTTAAGCTTTACTAGTCTTTTGTGGTAGAGATCTAAGTTCAAGTACTACCATGACTCAAGTATGAAAATTATGCGTATAGTGGCGGTGCTATAAGTACATAATATGTATACATAATGGTTCTTATACACGATGGGTTAGATATGATTATGTCAGAATTTCTTCAACCAAAATAAATAAATAAATAATATTCCACTTTCTTTTAATACCTTATCTATATGTGAATCATTATCTAACTGCTTATGTACAAGTAGCATTGCTCATAGTTTTAGACATGAGCAGAAGGAGGGGGCTTTGGGTCCCGGACCCCACAAGTTTTCTGCATTAATATTTAAAAAGAAAAAAAGAAAAGAAAAAGATGCTAGGGATCACTCTAATGCCTCAAAATGTCATATATATTCATATCTAGTTATATGAGTAGACGAGTCTAATCAACGATATAATAAATTTTAATTAATTTGACATCTAAAAACAACAACGAAATCGTATTATTAAATTCGGTTCTATTTATGCTGACTTGTTATGATGAAATCAATTTTAATTAATTTGACATCTAAAAACGATAACGAAATCATATTATTAAATTCGGTTCTATTTATGTTTACTTGTTATAATGAAATTCATCGTTGAATTTGTTTTAATTCTAAGATGTGTTGCAAAATTCGTCATGATCATGAACCTACTCCGACAAATGAAGAAGGTAACTCGAAACAAAACGAAAAATACAACATCAAAATGTGAATTAAAACAAAAACAATTGGATATTTAAACACATTTCTAGCAATTGTTTTGACTTCTTGTGTTAAACTCTGCGTTTATACGTTTTACAATTCGAAAGATGCGTTACAAAATTGGTAGACCATTAATAATTCAATACAAAATCAAGAACAAACCCCTAAAAACTGAAGAACATAACCTGAAAATAAACCAAAGGTGAACGAAATTTATAAGAAAAATAGTTAAATTATTAAATCTAGTTTTATTAGCCACCTCAGAGTGGATTAGTGTAACACAGCGTGGGAAATTTAGCCACGGTTTGTGTACAATTATTTCAAAATAAAAAATAAAAAATAATTCTCAAACTCATTTTCAAACACACATTCTCGCTATGTAAACTCAAATTTTTTCCTATTTAACTACACATTTTTCAAAAATTCACTATTTTAAAACTCATTTCCCTACTTTAAATTTTTAATTATAAGAATACAACCAAAATTTTATTTGAAATAACAAAAAACATAGTACTCATCCTTTGCCATCCTATCCTCATCCAACACCCATTAGCTCCAACAGAAACTAAGTGCTAGTTTGGAAAAACACTAAAATGGGATTATAACAAAAATGAATAATAGGAGTAATAATTATGAATGTATGATTAAAATTAATATTTAACTTCAAAATATAAGTAGATAAAATGATTAAAATTAATATTGGAATTCAAATTATAAATAAATAATAATTTTATCTAAACATAACGTAAATTAATAATCAATACTCTGCATGACAAGAAAGAAGAATTGTAATCCTACTTATTTATCAAAACACTTTTTAATTATGAGTTAATTACAAGTTTTAATTTTCGAATGATTTACCTCACATTATCTTTCAATTTTAAAATATTTTTTATTTGATTCAGTGTGTATCAACAATCTGCCCGTTAACCCAATGACCCACAAGTCGAGTCTAACAACTATGGTATTTAAGGAAAAAATAAAAAGAAGCTATAGTATTGTCACTTGCCATGTCATCATGTACCACGCAATAAGGGCCAATTTGGCAGGGTTTTAATAAGTCAAAACATTAAAAAGCTATATTTTAATATATTGAGATAACTTACTGAAAGTAGTCAAATACTACCTAATCGAAAGAGTTTTTAAATGAAGCTAACCAAAGACAGTTTTCTCATTAAACTCTTCTACAAAAAGCAGAAACTTGCCAAACAAGGCCTTAATATACCATCAATAAAGTATACCATCGTAAAATCTTCAAAAATATACCCTTGAGATTATTCTGTTCTGAAAATGGCCATGGAAAGAATATAGTTCAATTGAGACCTTAGATATATCTTCAAGCAGTAGAATGCAGAATTATTTATGCTTTTACGACTTTGTGTTGCTTTATCTCTTGAACTACGCCATCTGCAAGTGAATCAGTATCTACATTCTTCCCAAAAAACTTGACAAATTGCATATTTGGGTCCATCAGATACCTGCAACATTTCCAAACCATATTCACAAGATAAATTGATAATTTTATTCCAATATGTGACGTGATTCTAGTTTTGGACAGTTCAATAATCTCAAAAAACTTGTAGATAGTTCAAACTTGTAAAGACTGCCGTTTTTCACTCTAAGATTAACCTCACAAAAGGTCCAAAAATTTTGCACGTCCTTCCAGAAAACTCCAAAGCCGTTGTGGGCAAAATAATTCACTGAAATTTTTTTCTCCAAATACCCAACGGACTTATGAAAATTTCATCCCAGCCATTAACAGTTGACCATTTCAATCACTGCCAACCTATACAACCAAAAATCAATTCACAGGTGTGCATTTGACCACCCACAACCACTTGTCTAGCCTGGTTCACCTAATGTCTTGGAACCCTGGTGCCTTGTCCAGCATTTTCCTCACTACACATGAAAAACTACTGATGAAGCTCAATCCAACCATGATCAACCCTATGACATTTTAGAACAAGGCACCTAATAATCTAATATGTTCAATGGACAATCACTCACTTCAAACTCTAATTGTTCCTTAAGATTGAAAAGTTAAGAAATAACAGAGTCATGCTCTCCAATAACAATTAGAAATTAATCCAAATGATCACTAGAAAATGCTAGGAATGCAGCATGCCAGCAAGGCAGATGACAGGGAGAGTTATAAATTATTATTGATATGCATGTCTCGGCATAATTTGAGAGGTGGAGAATAATACATACATGACTATTGAGTGATCAACAAGGTAGTCTGAACCTTCTTCTTCTGTCTTCATATAGTACACTCGATAAGCACGCGCAGCTCTTTTAATTTCTTCCGAGCTACCAGTTAACCCAATCAACTTTGGATGAAATTCTGCACAGTGAAGCGTAATCGTTATTAAAATATAGACTTTCAGCTGGGATGATCATGTAAAGAACAAGTCAGAATCACATTCAAAGATTTACCTTTGACATACTCACGAACTTGTTCAACGGTATCTCTTTCTGGATCAACTGAAATGAAAACAGGCACCACTTCCATTCCAGATTTTTCTTCTATAAATGTAGAAGAAAAGAAACCAAGTATTTTTGGCTAAATTTCACCATACATAAATCAATGCAAGAATAAAATTACAGTAAACATTTTTAAATCAATCCTAGATTAAATGCTAGGATGAAAAGATGAAAACCCACACTGTTCTGAGTTAACAATACTTCAACCACTTCACTCACAATGCCACATGATCACAAAGATGGTATAACAAGAAACTTACTTATTTTATCAATTGCAGTAGCAAGCTTCTGTAGTTCATCCGGGCATATATCAGGGCAGTGAGTGAAACCAAAATAAATCAAGTTCCATTTCCCCACGAAGTTCTTATCAGTTACAGCTTTCCCATTATGGTCGATGAGGTTAAATGGACCCCCAATAGCTGCTTTCCCAACAGAGGGTCCTTGCCTCACAGCATTTGAAGCACTATTTATTCCTGCAAAACATAAGTTATGAAAGACAACTAAAATTCATTATGGAAGTCCATTGACAATAAATGGAAATACAGTAAAAGGAATCCAAATGCAAAATTTCCAACAATTATTTTGCAGAAGGAATTTTCCCATTAATTTATATCCAACATTACTTCACTGAGGTTCCATGTAATATTGCAGGTCTCATAACAATCTTACAAAATTCATTTTAACTTCATAGGAACTTGCTGATCTACAAAACTTCAGAGGCACTCTTATGCCAAAAGAAAACAAACATTTCTAACAGTTAGGTTATATCATGTTCTTTAGGACGAAGACAAAACCAGATTGGAGCAGGAAACAGGGTAGCAACTAAAACAGATTAACAATTGGTTTCCGTTCATCAACCAACAAAAAAGGAATGGACCATTGGTCTCCAATGACTGCCTGGTGGTCGTTGCCCAACAACCCTATACCATTTAGACTGTCAAACAGTCTCCAATGATTAGCTAACAGAAACTGGCGACTGTCTGGTGATCAACAGCTACCTGATGGTCGTCAATGATATCTGGTAAATCCATGGTAGTTATCATCTTATTGACAGCCAGCCAGGGGTAGTGCAGTGGTGATTGAGTTTGGTGTTTCTCTCTCGTAGAAGTTGTTGTAAGTTATAAAAATGGTTACCAACTTAAAAAGGAAATACATTTCATTCCAAATTGACTTAGTTTTTTTGCTGGAACAAACAACATTTTCCATTGACTAATTTCTTCTGGCACACTAAAGACTAGGAAATGCCAAAAAAAGGGCAAAGAAAGAGAAGTTCTAAGAAACAAACAAAACCTTAGTGGAACACTTAAAAGGTATAACAAGACAGCGTCAGAAATTTTAGACTACATGGTGATCAACAGCTACCTTATGGTCGTCAATGATATCTGGTAAATCCATGGTAGTTATCATCTTATTGACAGCCAGCCAGGGGTAGTGCAGTGGTGATTGAGTTTGGTGTTTCTCTCTCGTAGAAGTTGTTGCAAGTTATAAAAATGGTTACCAATTTAAAAAGGAAATACATTTCATTCCAAATTGACTTAGTTTTTTTTGTTGGAACAAACAACATTTTCCATTGACTGATTTCTTTTGGCACACCAAAGACTATGAAATGCCAAAAAAAGGGCAAAGAAAGAGAAGTTCGAAGAAACAAACAAAATCTTAGTGGAACACTTAAAAGGTATAACAAGACAGCCTCAGAAATTTTAGACACGGACATCTGATTTGTGTAATTCTTTGCATACAGCACGCCTATAGAATGAGATACAACCCATATTAATTTTTAGTTAAAACAGCGAGATTTACCCCCCCCCCCCCCCCAAAAAAAAAAAATAAATTTCTCCTCCTCCAACAAATTAAAGTGCAGAATTTGTTGTGGCAGCGTTGAACCATAACGGTGTAAATTTAGGCAAAGGATTTAATTACACTTTCAATCAAAATTAAAATAGCATGTTGTGATTGCTAAGGACTAGTTACTACTAGATTTTTCAATACTTGCAGAAAAAAAAAAAAAAAAAAAAGATTCACATGGTAGAGCTCAAACATATTGGAGATAAGGCTTAGCTAGTTGTTGATGACGATCGAATGAATAACTGCAGTCAAAACAACTAAATAGCTACAGCTACCATTTTCTTAAAATTAATAATAATAACAATAAATAAATAATTATCTCCTTCTTAACTGAATTTTGCAAGGTCAAACAACGTTGTAAGAAAACTGTATGAAACTAATCCTACAATAAAATTACACGAGTACAACCAGGATTATTTTTGAATAACAATAAGACCCCACTGTCTCTTTGGCTCTCGGACCCTCATCCAAACTCCAATAACTCCAATAAAAACCAGTTACCATTTCACTAAACCAGACCATAACTTGAAAGAAAATAAGCAAAATCATCAAAACAGATATCAAAATCAAGAAATAACCAGAAGCCTCCAGGAATGTTCAAACTATAGGTATATACACCACAACTCACCATAGTAATCTAACCTTCAATGTGCCGCTCCTTTTCCCTGTCATAGTAGTAAACCAATCCCGCTCCCGTGCAAAGAAGCAAAAAGAAGCTCATCCACGAAACAGGCTGTTTCAGTGGAAGTTCAATCAACCATCAATTAACCAATGTAACGAAAATCAGAACTCGTTAAATCCAAAAAAATTAAAAATTTAAAAAATCGACTAAAAATTAACAATAACCAAAATGGGGGAAAAGACTTACCCCACCACGAACAGGCTTCCCTTGCGATCCACCAGAACTCTTGCCATCATTACTGTTTCCAGAATTACCATCCGACGATCCACTAGTCGATTTTCCAGCTCCAGGCGCATCTGAATTTGATGGATTAATAGTGTTACCAGTAGCAGTCGTGCACAAAAATTTAAAATTGAGTGCAGCAAAAGCTGGGTACTTTCCGTATCGATCATCTCTGAAAAAATTCGATGGGAAAGTGCAGGAATTTTCGGGAAGGCTGTGAAATGAGGGTTTACTGAAACGCCATTGGGAAGTAAGGAAGCCATAGAAACTGCGAAGACGTAAACTTCGAGAAATTGATGAAGCCATTGCTACTGTTAGTGGAATTCTTCGCTTGAGGTTTTGGAATTACACGTTCCAAAAGGCAAAACCCTTTCGCGAGGGTATATACTGTGGGCTGCAGTCTGTTTGGGGATTATTCTTTAGGAATTTACACAAATAACTCCTTAAGCCTTGTTTGTTATCCTTTAACAAATTAAATTATTTGTTACAGTAAATCCACACATTTATACAATAATATATTCAACACGCAAACAAATAAATTTTTTTTTTAATTTCAACGACACATTTTTTAAAAAATACTATTCAAAACTCCATATTTTCTCTCATAATGAAAGACAAACAAACTCAAAGAGTCAAATAGCAATTGTATCAATATTGTTTAGACTCTAGTAAGATTCAAAAAGTAAACTTAAATTTATAGATCATCAAAGTTGCTCTAGATGAATGTACAAAACTTACATAAATTGCAACCAAAATTGGTGCCAAAAGAATGTCAATTGGATGACTAGCTAACCAAATGAAAACCAGCTGGACAAACTAACTAACAGATGTGAACCTAAGCTAATATGTACAATGCTCATTTATACAATGCATACAATTCTAATACTCCCCCTTAAGATGTACTGTAAATATTCTTTACATACATCTTGGATAACAAAGAAAGAAGAATGAATGCATGAAGGGGTTTAATGAAAGCATTAGCGAGTTGATGATGGGAACAAATTGGCACCAGTTTAACAAAACCAAATGTAATTTTGTCCCGAATGAAGTGGCAATCGATTTCGAAGCATTTTGTTGTTCATAAAATGTGGGATTGGTGGCAATTTGAATTGCATCTTGTTTATCATAAAAAAGAATAGATGGAGAAGTTGCACATTTCTGAAAGTCCTTCAACAATCGGTTGATCCAAATGACTTCACTAACAACGGCAGCAAGGGCCCTATATTCTGCTTTAGCTGAGGAACGAGTTATGATGGACTCTGTTTAGCTTTCCATGATAACAACGATTTACCAAGAAAGACGCAAAAGCCAGCAGTGGATTTCTTTTTCTCCCAATCAAACGGCGATAACAAGATGCATCTAGTAACAAATATCCATCATGAATGCTTAAAGAAGCCTTTAGATCCATACGGATATTGGTTGGTTTGCAATCTAGATAACCTTAATCTTCAAGCAATTGTAGAGTATAATGTCTCTATCAAATGACAATTCCAGAATGAAAACGCGCAATTTCGATGCCCAAGAAGTTTTTCAAGTTTCTTAAATCTTTGAGCTTGAATTGAGAGTGTAAAGACGTCTTTAATAAATTAATTGGCCTAGCGATGACATTGTCATTAACATATACAAGTAATGCCACGAAGTCATTCCCAGAGCCTTAAGTGAACAGAGATTAATCAGCCTTCGATTGATTGAAACCACATTGATAAGTGCATGGGTGAACTTCGAATTCCGTTGCCTTGAAACCTATTTTAGGCCTTATATGGTTTTACGCAATTTGCAAACCAGTTTTTCTCCCTACTTGGTAGTGCTGGGAACGTCATAACTGAATGGAAGATCCATGTAAACCTCTTCAAATAAGTCATTGTTCAAGAAGGTGTTGTTAACGTCAAGTTGGATCAAATGCCACTTACGACAAGCTGCAAGAGCCTATAGCAGTTTGATAATAACAATCTTCGCCATTGGGGATAAAGTGTCGAAATAGTCTAGGCCCTCCTGTTGTGTATAGCCATTAGCTACAAGACATGCTTTGTGTCATTCAATTGATCCATCTAACTTGTATTTGATCTTGAAGATCCATATGCATCCAACAGAATGTTTACGAACTGGTAAAGAAACCACTGACCAAGTATGGTGAGTTCCATAGTCTCTAACTCAACTTTCATGACTTCACGCCATTATGGATATTTGACTGCTTGATGGAAGAATTATGGCTCAAACTGAGAGGAAACATTCAAGATAAACTTTCTGTGATTTGGAGATAAATCGTTATAGGTTATATAATGTCCAAAATGATAGGTAAGTGAACAGGGAGAATAGGCTTTTGGGAAAATAGATTGCAATGATAATCTCTAAGATCTTTAGGACGTTTGGAGGCTCTTTTGGAATGGCGTATAGGAATTGAATGAGTAGGCTCAGGTGTGTTTATGATGTCAGTATGTAGATTATTGCTTTGATCAAGATCATTGTGATCTGGTACCACATCAATAGATGGTGATACAACGGATAAAGACTCTTCTTGAGCTAAAATATGAGTTTCAATAGATGGAATAGGAGATGAACTATATTGATTTGATGAGGAAGGTGAATCTTGATGAAGATATGGAGAACGAAACAATAAGACTAAGTCAAGAAATCGGTCCAACAATTGATCAGCTGCCATAACCGTATGGAAAAGAAAAACATCTTCATGGAACACAACCTCCCATAATAAGAAAACTTGTTTTGAATTCACATGATAAAGTTTATAACCTTTGACTCTAGAACGATACCTTAGAAACACACATAGTCGAGCTCATGGTTGGATTTGATTCTATGTGCAATTAAAGTTGATGCATATACCAAGCATCGAAAGACTCTAAGCATAGAGTAATTAGCAAATCATCCATGTAGTATCTCATATGGTGTTTGACGCTTCAATATAGGGGATAGAGTTCTATTGATCAAGAAGGTGGCTGCCAAAGCACATTAGGACCAAAATTTGATGGAAACTCGTGACTGGAAATAGAGTAACCTAGCAACATTTAGTAAATGCTGATGTTTGCGTTCAACCACAGAGTTTTGTTATGGTATTTCTACACAACTGAATTGGTGCATAACCCCTCTTTCAGCAAAATACTCAGTGAACGCTAATTCATTAGCATTATTAGACCTGAACATCTTTCTTTTGGCATTGAACCAGGTGTTAGTGATATTGAAAAATCTGGGAATGACACTGTTTGCATCAGATTTTTGCCTTAATAGATAAAGCTATGTAAATCTGTACAATCATTCACCAAGGTGAAGACGTAATTATATCTAGGGTATGAAGAGACATGATAGGGCTCCCAAATATCACAGTGTATAAGATCTGAGGGAATATATATGGCTAAATTCATTCCCCTCGTCTGACAAATATAGGAGGACTCTGATCAAACTCCCGGCCTAAAATACCTTTCCAAAATCATAGTTACTGTTATAGCATATACTCGTATGCCATCTCCTACTGCTTAGGATCTTTGTATTAAATACTTGCAAAGCAGAATTCATTCCACTCCAAAAGAGCCCCGGCTATTCACGAAACGTGAAAAGCAGATGGTTAAAAAAGATTATTTGACAATCTATTATTTGATTCAAATGACAACCTCCTCTGTTTAGCAAGAGGACAAATATATTAAGGCATGTGTTTATTTGATTTTGTAACATCACACAACAATTGATCCTTCAAGCTGTCTAATCTTTTAAATGAAAGATGCCCAAGTCTATTATGCCATACACGTACAGACACATTGTTAACAAGTGCATTAGAAATGGAATTCAAAACTTTGATATCAAGGACATACAGGTCCTATACTCGATCATCCCTGCTAGTCATCTTCTTAGGTTTGACATCTTGAATTATGAAGTCATCATGAAAGAAACTTAATGTGAGTCATGATCCAACATTCAAGGCACTAACTAACAACAGGTTGAACTTGAATTGTGGCACAAATAAGGCATTACACAACACAAGTGTTGGACTTGAACTAACATCACCACATAATCTGACTCTAATTTGTGTGTGATTGGATAAAGTCACATTAGAACCATCAATGATCCCCATGTTTATAAATGAATCAGCAATAGAACATACATGTTTGGTGGCAACTAAGTCCACTATCCAAATATCATTGGAAGAAAATACAAGATTAACATAAAGTAGTATTTACTTGTAGCATATGATACGATATTGTTACCCTGATAATCATTGGCTGATGAACTTGATGCTGGGTGATTGGACAAAATTAACATCAACTGTTGATACTGAGTAGGATTTAAATTCTGATCAAAACTCCCAATAACAAGTTGTTGCATATTTGGCTATGTGTCTTCATAATGTGGAGTGAATGAAGTAGAAAGTTGATTGACAGAATTTGGACCAGAAGAATTTTGGAAATTATCTCTCAATCTTGATTTATAACTTGATGGATATTCATGGATCTTATAACATTTCAATGGAATGTCTATGGACGTTACAATGTGTGCAATAGGGCCTTTCATTCTTCCTAATATTTTCAAGCTTTGAATTATTGATGTAAGATCCAGAACCAGTTGTTGCTTTGACATTGTCAGATTTAACAGCAAATATAGCAGAGCTCAATTCAAATCATTTCCATTAGATAGTTGCGTGCTAATCTTTCTCTGGTTTTCTTAGAAATCAAAGCAATCACTTTATTGGTTGGGGGTAGAGGATCCATAAGCAACAGCTGTCCTCTGATTGGGAGAAGGAATCATGTAGTCTAATGAGAAATGACATTACATATTTCATTTGATAATGCTTGTTCAACTCTTTCACTCCCTCGCAAGTACATTTTCCACAACAAGGGGTGGGACGATAATTTTTCAATTCCTTCCATATCGTTTTTGAGTTTAGTGAAATATATACTAACGGTGTTTTGATCTTGAGCCAGATTCATCAAATCTCTTCTCAATTTAAAAATGAATGGCCTATTCTTTTGTTGAAACCTATCTTTGAGGTTATCCCAGACTTTATATACGGAAGTACCATAGATTATACTAGCAGAAATATCCTTTGAAACATAACTGAAGATCAATGAGATAATCATATTATTGTTTCAAATCCATGAATTAATCAATTCAGTATTCGTACATTCTGGTTTGGTTATACTTTCATCACGAATCCAAGTTTATTCTTCACCGATAATGCAATCAACATTGCAATGCTCCAAGAGGTGTAGTTTTCTCCCGTGGGCTGTTGTGTTACAAGTACCAACCCTGAACTGTTGGAATGGTGAAGGAAATAGGAGCTTGAAGGATCATTAATGGCAGATTTACTCATGGTCGATCGCACACCAAAATTATCTTCAGATTCAATCGAATCCATAACAGCAGAATCAATAGAATAGATGATGAAGAAGAGCACAAAATGAAATTTGCTTTGA